AAAATTACTTACTAGTACAATCTGATAATTTTAGTTAACAGCTCTTTTTTTTCCCTTTTTATTTCTTTCTTAAGTAAGATTCTGATACCCTTACTGGTAATAAACTGCAGCACCTTCCTTCCTAAATAATCTCTCTGAAGCTAATGTAACTGCTCAAGGAAGAGGAAGCTGCAAAGCTGGTAAGAGTATCAGAATCTCACCCAAACTGTCATCAGTTTTTCTAAGTAATATTCACTGGCAGCTGTACTGTAGTCTGCTTTATTGCTTTTGAATTTCATCAGAAATAGGTTTTGTAAATACCTACAGGTATGTAGCATTGACTATGACAGTTTACTTTCTAAGGCATGTTTCTGTATGTTTTGGGATTTCACCTAGCAAACTCAGCTTCATGTTCCAATGTTACAAGTAAGTAGTTTCAAGACGGGGCCTGAATAATCAGTCATTTTTTCAGCTGAATGAACCGACACTTAAAAAACAAAAGAGCTACATCAGTCTAATTTTAAAAAATTCTTTGATCTATTTAATAATCACACTATTTTTGATAACTCTAGTAGCTGTTACCCAGCATTGTGGATAAGTGAACTGACTTTGTATAAAAAATATTTTTCCAGCCCATGAGCATTTTCCTCTGCTCATTCAGTTTGTTCAGAGGTTGATCAAATTCCAGAACTTGAAGCCAAGCTGAGACTAGTGAGCTGGGTGGGAGGTGAGACTTACACCTTGAAGTCACGTTGTGGTTTTTTTTTCTTTAGGTTAACAGTGAAATAATAAAGGAGAATTGTTTGAGGGGTTTTATAACCTGGTGGAACAGCCAATCTATGAAAACTGACCACACTTCACTGAACGTGCTTTCGAGTGGTGGGATATAGGCCGGGGAAGTGTGTCTTTACTAGTAGAAGTAGGATATAGGCCTGGGATAAAGACCTAGGATCCCGGAGTAATTTAAAGAAAGAGAACAAACAACTTGCTAAAGACCAGCCTTCCAGCTGCAACACTAAATTTAGTATCTGTACAACTTTATACCCTCTTCAGTCCACATCACACAGAGTGTGTAAGGTCTCCACAAAAGTTCAACAGTAGGCAGACTAGCAGCTGGACCAAAGAGGATAAAAAATTAGATGTTTGGTGGACAAGCAAAATGGGACAAGGAGAGAAAATGAGTGGAGAGCCATGATGGCAGGACTGCAGGTGAGAGGAGAGGTTGAGGTGTGATCAGGAGCAGGGGAAGCTGGAGCTTGAACAAGAAGGCTGGACCTGGGTGAGCGGTAAGGTGCTTTGTCTTTAATTGCTTCTTAAAACCAAAAATAATTCTGAAATGAAACATAAAAATGGGGATTTAAAGCTGTACAGTGTCAGTTCAAGCTTCTGTTAATTCATGGTGATACCTCTTTTAATTAAGCGGTCAAATACTACTTTCTCATGGGGACTCTTGCTTCTCTGCTCTCTGGAAAGAGACGAAACAGTGGTGTGTGTCAAAGGGGATGGAGGCTGCATAATCAATGAGGTGGAGGATTGCAGAAAGGAAAAGGAAATGATCTCAAGGCCAAGATCGTTTAATGCTACCCTGGAGAAATTAGGGTTATTTTCCTTTTCTCTGCAATAGAGTTATGCTGAGATGAGTCATTTCACAGGGAGCAGGGAAAGGATTGAGAGAGAGAGAAGGGAAGATTTTCCGCAGGTGGCTGCTTGATTTTTTGTGGAAACCACTGAGATTCTGGGGTCACACTGTGGAAACGCTGAGCATCTGCAGCTGTTGCTGAAAATGCCAATAGTTGTGCTTTCGACATAGAAGCTGTTGTATGCTACAGACTGTTCTGAGAAATAGAGGCACAGATATATCAAATTGCTCACTGAAAGTTGTCATACTTTGACCTAAATGTTCCTATGTTTCCTTCCTGTAAAATTAGGATAATAGTACTCGGTTTTCTTGCTGGGCACAGCATCCGTTCACTGGTGTTTGTGAGGCAATCTTAGGCTCTGGGGATGTGCGGTACCAAAGTTCAGGAGGAAATTAATGATTTTATCTCTGCAAAGCAACTTGAATAGTTTGTAGTAAGTATGTCATGAGCATCGAACAAGAATAAAACAAAGTGTAGTGTAGCTGCTTATTAAGAGCTTGTCAGCACAAGGGGATTCATTTCACACTGAGCTGTGTTTGCTGCCTACAAAAAAGGCTTTCATCCACCAGAGACAATTAATAGCCCAGGATAACTGACAAAATACTGCTGGTTCACACTTACTCGATTTGAAATTGTAGTAACTTTGTGTGCAGTATCATACCCTTTGCATCCAACAAGTACTCTGTGGCTTCAAACCTTGAGCTGTGCAGTTTGCCCTGTTTTGGTTCCTTCTTTCTTCTTTTTTTGAAAAATAACAGACTTTTATTTAGTACTGGTAATTTTCATAAAGCAGTTTCATAAAAACTATCTCAATACTCAAATCTCAAACTGCAGACACTGTGCAGTGGGTGGTGTGTAACCTCAGAGATTTATAAGGCAACCCAGAGGGTAAAAACATCAAATTAAGACAACAAGAAGTTCACCAAAACGATGCTTAAAAATATTTAACAGGATAATAATTGTTGAAACAAACAGAAAGAATTCAACTGAATAGTGCAACTGTCATATAAGATATGGTTGACCCATTGTATGAAAGTATGGGAAGCGAGCTATGAAAATTACACGACTTGCAAACAGTTAATTGCTGTTCTCTAATTTGCAATGTAGGCATTTCCTGGCTTTCTTGGCCAGGGCAGCCAGGGTTAACAAGATCTGTTAGAATATTGTGTTGGAAATGTCATTATTAATACACCTTGCAGTTGCTGTAGGTGAAGATCTGCCGTTTTCCATCAAAGAGAAGAATCATGATCTGCTAAAGTAAATGACATGAGGATTTTGTAGGTGATCCTCCAATATGGGTAGCTTTTTATGTGATTGTCAATTAGGCATTGGAGCCTAATGGAAAAGTACCTTCTGTGAATGGATGCGGAGGCCTCAGTACATGGAGCAGAAATGTCTTGGGGTGTTTGAAGAGCCCTACATGTGCAAAACCCATTAGCTCTTTCAGGAGAGCTTTATGCCACATGGCCATGTTTTGATATTAGCACACTCTTTGTTAAGAACAATCTCAAAAGTCAGTCTGCGTTCACATACAGGACTACCTCCTGGCCAGAGCAGCTGTAGGCAGGGTACTTCAGAGGGCAGGTGCCACACCGTTGTCTAAAAATGTATCTTTGGTCACCCTCAAGTTCTAAGCCCCCTGCTTACCGTATCAGATCTTCAGTGCGGTCTTCTGTCAGCAAACCCGCCAAAACAATACATTCATAGAATCATAGAATCACAGAATCATAGAATAGTTTCAGCTGGAAGAGACCTGGAATATCATCAAGTCCAGCCTTTGTCCCAGCCCTATCAACCTACTGAACTATGTCCCCCAATGCAACATCTAGTCATCTCTTAAACACCTCCAGGGACGGTGACTCAACCACCTCCCTGGGCAGCCTGTTCCAATGGCTGACAACTCTTTCAGTATAGAAATTCTTCCTAATATCTAATGTGAGCCTCCCCTGGCGCAATTTAAATCCATTTCCCCTCGTCCTATCACTCTCCACTAGGGAGAACAGACCAACTCCCACCTATCTACAGCCTCCCTTCAGGTAGTTGCAGAGAGTGATGAGGTCTCCCCTCAATCTCCTCTTCTCTAGGCTAAACAGACCCAGATCCCTCAGCCTTTCCTCATACAACTTGTGTTCTAAGCCCTTTACCAGCTTGGTAGCCCTCCTCTGTACCCCCTCCAGCACCTTGATGTCCCTGTTGTAGTGAGGGGCCCAAAACTGGACACAGCACTCAAGGTGAGGCCTCACCAAAGCCGAGTACAGGGGAATGATCACCTCCCTACTGCTGCTCACTACACTGTTTCTCATACAGTGAATATGCTCCAAGAAACGGTCCTCTGGAAGCAGTCAGCAATCATCATCATCTTCCTCTGGGGTCGTTAGCAGCTTCCTATGCAACCAAAAGACAAGGAGAAATGCTAAGCAGATTTCCCGGCCAAGGGAAACTTGTCAAATCCTTTTGCACAAGTCAGTAAAGAATTGCAGTGACTGGCATTGTAGAGCAGAGCATCCTTTTAGCTATGATGGGCATACAGAAAATTGCAAGTTACATCAGATACCTCCAAGAAAGGATGAGTTAGGTGTGCAAGGAGAGGACTGGTGCGTGTTTTACTAATTTGACCACTGCTGGAATCACAGGGCCTCTAATAGGTATCGCCAGTAGAAAGTGGGGAAAAGTCCACCGTGCTTCAGGCCCAGCACAGAGTATAGAGGAGCAAGGCTGCTCATCAAGAGGCAGACAGTTGCTTCAGAGGAAGCAGCGAGTCCGTGTGATGTAAGCTGCATCTGTGCAGGTGTGATAACTGTGTATCAGCCCAATGATGTGTGTGGCCACTATCTACAGCGTCTCATTTATTGTGAAGGAGATTCTTCCTCCTCGCCCAGGAAGCATTGTCTTCATACCTCTCCCTAAGCACTGAATGAGACAGCAGTAGATGTAAAGAACCTGGGTTAGCGCACTCTAGATATTTTG